AGTACACTGTTGTTGATCGTTACTCTACTGTGCAGCAGTAGTTCCTCTACATAGTTAACTTAACATCGTTAACCAACATTTCCCCGTCTCGAATTCCTGAATATTTCCCATATCTAGCATCTGAAAATCATTATTCTACTCTTTTTTTTAGGCTTATTTTTATTTTGTGTGCATGAATGTTTTGCCTGCATGTATGTGTGTGTACCAGGTGCCTGTAGTGTTCAAGGAGACCAGAATCATCAGATTCTTCTGGAAGTACAGTTACAGACAGCCATGCCCTGCTGTGTGGGTGCTTAGAGAGGATCCTCTGTTCCTACAACTGTACTTAATATTAAATATACAAAAAATTGTTTAGTACAAGTTATTTTGAAAACATAGCAATATAATTTTGATCATAAACATTAAAGAGAAAGAAAACCTCAACACATGCACTACATTCTTTCCTGTATTTTAATTTCTAATGTCTCATTTTAGGTTTTTATATCGCCTATTTCTTAAAATAGCAGTGTAGTCATTTTTCAATTTTTTGGGTTTTTAATCCAAAGATGCTTTGAATGCCATAATTAAAGTATTAAAAAACACTACATCTTTCTGAAACTTTCCGTTAACTTCCAGTGTTTCTTTTACTCAACAATATCTTGTTCTCTCATGCTAAAGTATTCCCCTTAGGATTTATTCTAGAGTGAATCTAAGTGGCAATAAATTCCCTCAGCCTCTATTTGGAAATACCCTTCTGTCTCCTCTTCTGAAAGCTTGCTTTGCTGACTATACCAGTCGTCATCACCATCACCATCACCATCATCATCATCATTTATTCACTTTACAACCTAATGCCAGCCCTTCCTCTCCTCCCAGTACCTCCTCAAGCACATCCTCCTTTCATTCCATCTTCCTCTTAAGCCCCCATCACACCCTCCACTAGCACCCCTTCCCACACATCAAGTCACTGGGTACTTGGTGCATCCTCTCCCACTAAGGCCAAGAAAGGAGGTCCATTTAGGGATGGGGAATCTACAGGAAGCCAACAGGCTCAGAGCAGCCCCTGCTCCAGAACACACCAATGGTCAACCACAGGTTTCACTTGTTTTCACCATTCCATTCCTCCTAACATAAAAGTTGTCTCCTGAAAGTCAGCTGTCTGATCAATTGGAACACGTATTCAGTCGGCTTCCTTCCCTCCTTCCTTCCTTCCTTTATCCCCTCTCTTCTTCCCTTACTTAATTTCACAATTCTCTGTGTTTTAACTTTTGAGACCTGATCATGACATGTCAACTTGCAGTAGATTTGTTAAATCTCATCTAACTGGTAACTTTTGACTTTCCTGTATCTAGATATTTTGTTCCCTCTCTAAAATTGGAAAGTTTTATGTTTTTGTTTTTAGGAAATATATTAATATAGTCATCCATTTTAATATATATACAAAATTATGTGTGAATCATGTTTATTCCTATAAAATTAGTTTTTATTATGCTTTTTATTAAATGTGTTCTTCGACAATTTTATACATACTACATTCTGGTAACTCTCTCTTCCTCTACTCCCATCTTTTACTCTGTCAATCTCCTCTCTTAGATGCAAGTCTCTTTCTCAAATTCTGGTTGTTTTGGTTGGTTTGGTTTGGTTTGGTTTGGTTTGGTTTGGTTTGGTTTGGTTTGGTTTG